TGGGGAGGGCGGGCGCCTCCGGGCCGGGGTTCGGGCCGTCGCGGGGCTTCTCCTCTGGCGAAGGCCCTGGCTGGCCTCCTCGCTGTTGGTGTCTTGACTGGTCTCGTCTGCGTCGCCGTGGCTGACTGGTCCGCTCTGCTGGTGTCTTGGCTCGTCTTCTCGCTGTTGAACCTCGAGACTGGACTGGTCTGCTCTGCTGTTTTGACGTCTTTGGATGTCGTCGGTGGCCTTCGCGTCTGTCTTGAACGTCTGGACCGGTCTCTGAATTGAATGTCTGGACGCGTCTTCTCTGCTTTGAATGTGCTGCCAGGTTTTCTCTTCCGTACTGTTGTCTTGACTAATCTTCTCTGCGTGGAACATCTTGGTGGTCGTCTCGTCTGTTTCACGTGTCTTCCCTGGATGGTCTTTTCCCTGGTGACTGTCTCGACTGGCCTTCTTCTCTGTGTTAGGTGTTTTGACCGGTCTTCTCCTTTGTTTTGAACATCTTGGCTAATCTTGAGGGTTGGGTGTCTTGACCGGTCTCCTCCTCTGTGTTGAATGTCGTGACTGATCTTCTCTGTGTTTATGTCTTGGCTGGTCTTCTTTTCTAGATGGAATGTCTTGGCTGGTCTCGCCTCTGTGTTGCATGTCTTGACTAGTCTCCTCTGCTTTGGATGTCTTGACTTGCCTTCTCCTTTGTGTTGATGTCCGGACTAGTCTTCTCCTCTTTACTGAATCACTCAACTGGTTTTCTCCTCTGTACTGAATGTCTTGATTGGTCTTCTCTGTGTTGGTATCTTGACGAGTCTTCTCTGCATGGAATGTCTTCACTGGTCTTCTCTCCTGTGTTGAAAGTCTTGAGTTGCCGTCTTTATTGAGGATCTTGACTAGTCTTCTCCTCTGTATTGACGGTCTTGACAAGTCTTCTCTGTTTTGAATGTCTTGACTGGTTTCCTCTGTATTGAATGTCTTGACTAGTCTTCTCTTCTCTATACAATGTGTTGATTAATCTTCTCTTCTGTATTCAGTGCTTTGACCAGTCTTCTCTTCTTGAACTCCCTTTACTTTGCTTCCTTCATGCATTTGCCCCCTATTTTTCTCCTACCTTCCAGAGAACTGCTGGCCTCACCATTGTTAGTCCCCAGATTGTTGGCATGTCATTCGCACTCTCTCCCCCCATCCCCAGGCAACTTCTTCCGAGATGTATTTTCACAACTCACATCTTGTCTACACTCCAGACTCTTCTATCAGAGGAATTTCTATTGACAGACCAGTGGATACCTCAGACTCACTGGGTTAATTAAATTTTTGTCTCAGCTGGACTCAGTGGCTCAGCCTGTAATCCTAGCACTTTGGGAGGCCAAGGCAAGTGGATTGCCTGAGCCCGCGGGTTTGAGACAACTGGGTGAGACCTCGTCTCTACAATAAATCAAAAATTCCCCGGGCGTGGTAGTGTGTACCTGTATTTCTGACTGCTTGGGAGGCTGAGATGGAGGGATTGCCAGAGCCCAGCAGATCAACGCTGGGGTGGCTGTGAGTGTGCCACTGCACTCCAGCCTGGGTGACAGAGAGAGACTGCAACTAAAAAAAAAGTTTGTCTCTGTAGCTTTTTAACCTGCTTCTCAATCACTAAACATAGACACTTCAAATATTCATGTATTCCTCATAACATTCAAACAATTAACAAATCCTATCTATCTTTCTAATAATTCTGCTCCTTTCTACCTTTGTGACATTGCAAACCCTCATAATTTTATGTCTGAATTATTACATCAGACTCCTAAGTATCTTCCTCCAGTCTTATTTTACCAACAGACTCATATGGAAAATGAAAATTCTGTCATGTCTCTTGCCACTTAAATCAATGGCTCTGTATGAGGGTAAAAGATCAGACTCTTTAGAAGGATATCCAAGGACATTTAGGATCCATTTCCAGTTTTTCCAGCTTTATCTCCCATCAGTTGTTAACCTTTACCCTGCTTTCTAACAAAACTGAGTTAGCTACTTGCAATTTCTCTAAGACAGAATGCATGTTCACATTATCAATGGGGTCTCTGTATCAAATATTTTGTCACCCACTTATTTTCATCAGTAATGATAACATCCATTAATTAATGTGCACCTACTTCACTCTAGCGTCTTCCTAGGCAAATGGTATCTGTGATCCTCACAACAATTCTGCAGAGTAGATCTTGTTTTCTCTTTTACAGAGGGAACCAAGGCCCAAATAATTGAATCAAGACCAAAATTATGTCAGGAGCTAGGGTTGATAATAATCTATGCGCTCAAGTAATCTCTCAAGGAATTTATGGTTCAGTAGAGAACACAGACTTAAAAATCAACAAGTTCGTTAAGAGATAATTATATTTGAGGTTTTTACAAACCAAAGTGGGGGAACAAAAGTGGGAAGAGAAATTTTAGAGTTAGTGCACTGAACTGGTCTTGAAGGAGAAATAGGACAAAGGAGAAAGAATGCCAGCTAAGGAGAAAGAGGGGAGAAGAGAAATGGCAGAGCATTCTTGGGAAAAACATTTGCAAAGGAACAGACAAAGCGTGTAGAACTGCAAATAATTTTGCTTGGCTATAGCAAGAGAGTGATATGACGTAGATAAACTTGGAGTACTTGCAGGAATCAGATCTGGGAAGCAAATAAGTTTTGTCCCATGTGCCAAAAACACACCTCTAGTTTTGGTGGCTGGATAGATGGTAATACTACTATTTCCAGATACAGGGAATTTTGTCTGCGAAGCAACTTACAGAGGGAAGATGATGAGTTCTGTTATGGACACGATGAGTGTGAAGACCCTCTGAGATATCCAT